AGAGAGAAAGAAAGGAAAGAAGAAGAAAAAAGAAGGAAGAAGAAGAAGAAGAAGAGAGAAAGAAGAAAAAAAAAGAAGAAGAAGAAGAAGAAAAAGAAGAAGAAGAGAAGAAAAAGAAAGAAGAGAGAAGAAAAGGAAAAAAGAAGAAGGAAGAAGGAAACAAAGAAGAAAAAGAAGGACAGCAAGAGAAAGAAGATAAAAGAAAGAAGAAGAAAAAGGAAAAAAAAAAAAAAGAAAGGAAAAAAAACTAAAAACCGCGAACTCCGTATCAAGCATTGGGCAGTAAACAGATGCCAAGAAGGGAAGAGAAAAGAGGGGAAAGGGGAAAAAAGAAGAAGAGAGAAGAAGAAGAAAAGAAAAGGGAAGAAGAAGGAAAAAGAAGAAAAAGAAGAAAAAGAAGAAGAAAAAAGAAGAGAAAAAAGAAGAAGAAAAGAAAAAAAAAAAGAAGGAAAAAGAAGAAGAAAAAAAAGGAAAAAAGAATGAGAAAAAGAGAAGAAAAGAAGAAGAAAGAAAAAGAAAAAAAGAAGAAAAGAAAACAAAAAAAAAAAAAAAAAAAGAAGAGGGAGAAAGAAAAAAGAAAAGAAAAGAAAAAAGAAGAAAAAGAACGAAAAGAAAAAAAAGGAGAAAAAAAGAAAAAGAAGAAAAAGAAACTAAGAAGAAGAGAAAGAGAGAAAAAAAAGAAGAAGGAAAAGAAGGAAAAAGAAAAAAAAAGAAAGAGAGAAAAAGGGAAAAAGAAGGAAAAAGAAGAAAAGAAAGAAAAAGAAGGAGAAAAAGAAGAAAATAGAAAAGAGGAGGAAAGAAAAAGAAGAAAAAAGAGGAAGAAGGAAGAAGAAGAAAAAAAGAAAGGAGAAAGAAAGAAAGAAAAAGAAAGAAGAAGAAAAGAAAGAAAAAAAAAAGAAGAAGAAGAGGAGAAAGGAAAAAGAAAAAAGCAGAAGAAAAGAAGAAAAGAAGAAAGAAGAAGAAAAGAAAAGAAAGGAAAAAGAAGAAAGAAGAAGAAGAAAAAAGAAAGAAAAAGAAGAAGAAGAGAACGAAGACAGGAAGAAAAAAAAGCAAAAGAAGGAAAGAAAGAAGGAAGAAAAAAGAAAGAAGAAGAAAGGAAAAAGAAGAAGAAGAAGAAAAAGTAAGAAGAAGAAGAAAAAGAAAGAAGAAGAAGAAAAAGAAGAAGAAGAAGGGAAAAAGAAGAAAAGAAGAAAAAAGAAAAGAAGAAGAGAGAAGGAAAAAGAAGAAAAGAAGAAGAAGAAGAAGAAGAAAAAGAAGAAGAAGAAAAAGAAGAAGAAAAAGAAGAAGAAGCAGTTCAAGAAGAAGAAGCAGCAGTTCAAGAAGAAGAAGCAGTTCAAGAAGAAGAAGAAGAAGTAGACAAAGGAGAAAAAGGACAAAGTAATCATAAAAATTGCCATCACAGAATAAAATTATGTAAACTTACGGTCACCAGAAACCTGCAACGTCTGCACTTGGCCAGATTCAGTTTCAATAAGAAATATAAGATTTCTTTCCAACTCTTGTTGGTCTTTCTTCAAGAATTCTTCAGAATTCATTAGTATGCCCTCAACAGGTCCAAACTGGGTTCTCTTTGGAATGGTTTTGCGAGCAAATACACCATATTCTGCACAATAATTGGGCATTAACCAAATTAATTCATACATTAATAATGAGAATACAAGAACTTACCAGATTCCTTTGCTTTGTTAAGTGGAAGTTTACTGATGGTAAGGTAACAAGTAGGTAATGATGAAAAAGCACAATCCAGCATAGACTTGTGATCTTCAGCATTAAAATACGAACAGCATCCATCATTAAAGGTGTTGCTGTTTGCAACATTTCCTAAAAATTGTTAATAAAAAACATTTGTGATCACTGACTTTGCTGTACAGAAAAATAACTTCATTGTATGAATAATGACTTACTCAAAGTTTTTAAATCTGTAACTTTACTGTTTACAAGGCTACTTTCAATAACTTTGGATGACCTAGAATTTGGTAGAGTAAAGTCTGAACATATCTCAGGGGACTGTTGAATAAGGCTGTTTTCTGAGATCGCATTTCCAATCGTATTACTGACAGATTCCATTAATATGTCAGAATAGGTTTCAACAGCTTCCAAATTAGGATCCACAATTGAAATTTTTACTGCTTCATTTAATAATGACTCACCTACAAACAGTTATATGTTTATTACCATAGGTTTCCATAAGAAACTTGGTTATATAGCAGAAAATTTAATACAATTAGATTTTGACACAGAAAATATGCAATTTCTACTTTCTAGGTACAATGAGCCATATACTTTTATACAAGGTACTATGCCAGACGTTACTGTACATACCTGAATTGGAGAAAGAGTGATAAAGGAAGAGAGGTAATGGCAAGGTAGGTCTGCTTGTGTTGGATGTGTAGTTTTGAGACAGAGATGGAGGTAAGAGGTAAAGGAAACTTCATTGTGGGCAACACAAAAAGTTTATAAGAAGAGTTAGGAAAGGGAAAGAAGTTTACTGAGAATCAAAGCAGGTGATATTGAGGTTGCAATTGGATAGAAATTTTGGAATTATTGATAATGATCGTCACGTGATTTCGGGCACGTCAACTGCTAAGGTCGTTAACCCCGTAAGTATAATGCATGTTTTCATCTCGGGATATGGCAGTAATCACAAACACACACACACACACAGGATGGCCAGATCCAGTGCAGACCTATCATCGGCTAGAGGGATTTCTCCTAACCAGGGCAATACCACAGCCAGGACAAGCTCTGGTCTCCTGACAGGTTGTGGCGGTGGCAGTTATGATTAAGATTTACGGTCACATCAACAGGTAAGGATATTTGTGCCCATGTCAAATTATTTTAAGAACAGTATGTACTGTGGCAGTGCCAAACTAATTTTTTTTTTAATGCAAAGTAAAACTGGCATGTGTGGTAGTGTACTGCATGTAATTGTAAGTAAGCGGTGCAGATAGGACAAGGTAGAGAAAGGACAGTGAGTGAGTGCACATTTGTGGCTAGTTTGTTAGGGTTCTGCTAGGGTATTGATCAGAGAAATCATATAAAACTACTGATCAGAGCAGCCAGTCGTAAGAATTCTCCTCCAAACAGTGACTGAATTCGACCTAGCTATTAAGCTAGTGTCGAAAATCCTGTCACCGTTGGGACTCGAATCTAGGTCAGAGGGATTATTGATCAGAAAGGAGTTATAATTATATGAGAGAAAAAAAACTGGCCTGATTATTTTGCAAAATATAAATATTTGAAGCATCATTTTAAGTAGCAATGACGTATTTTGATGGTATGAAAATACTATAGGTTAAATGTAAATTGGATGAGTAAGTTGTATGGAAATGTAAAAATAAGTTGTATGTACTGAGAAGTCAATAAATAAAGAGAGATATATGGGAGATAGTAGGAAGAGAGAGAAATTTAGAGAGATGGTTAAGATGATATGGAGGTGAAAGTGTAAAGGGGGTAAGCTATTGAGATAAACGAGGTGGTTTCAGAGATAAAGATTATTATATAAAAGTGGCAATGTGAACTGGGCTAGTAAAATGAAATAAAATGGAGGATTGGGTTGGAAATGGTTCCAAGAGGAGCAAGGAAGTAAGAGGGGGAGATAATCACAGAAAAATGTAAAGATGTGATATGGAAGAATGCTGCAATGGAGATTATATAAAATTGTGAGTGAATCGAACTGCTTCACATGCAGCAAATACAGTTAGATTCACTCACAATTTTACATAATCTCCATTGCCGCATTCTTTCATATCACATCTTTACCTTTTTCTGTGATTATCTCCCCTCTTACTTTCTTGCTCCTCTGGAACCGCTTCCAACCCAATCCTCCATTTACATATTTATATTTTGCAAAATGTTTATAAGCACTTCCATTTGGTTAGAGAAATGCAGAAAATAAGCAAATAATAAAAATATTTTATTTGACAAATACTAATCTTAAGTAAATTTCTCATGTCCTCTTCTACATTTGGTAATTATGTTATATGAACTTCATTCCGGTGACATTAATCTGAAGTAATTACTAACAGTACAAGAATATTGTAATAAATATAATAAATAAATGACGTATAACATTGTATTTTAAATAAATTAATCACAGAATTAAGATTCTGTTCATCTGATGAACGCTATGTAAGATAATTTCCCATGTCTACCACACACGCCTGCATGATACTAGTTTGTCCATCCAAACTGTAAGCAATGCTCCCATCACTCAAACTTATTAGTAATGAATAAAAGCAGTAAACACACCGAAAAGAAAAAAAATTTAAAAGTAATTCTACAAGATGTTTTTATCTAATGAAACAAATATCAAATGAAAAATATATAGCTTACATCACAGAACTTAAATTTACAAGATAGAGAAAAAACTGCTGATACAAAATAGCACAAAAGGAACTCCTACATTTATTCCCTAAGAAAGAGTTATCACAAAAAGTATACTTCAGAAATAATTTCATAAATTTACTGACTGAGATGTGCCACACTGTCAGAAAGATCTCCATTCAATGGAGCTGCCAACAATGACTGTTGAAGAAGTTCATTTTGCTGTTGCCCCACAGCAAGAGTGAATTCTTGTAAGCCCAAACTTCCAGCAAGTTTTTCCTCTGCACTTGCATCTCCAGCCTGTGAAGGACGGAGCTGGAGATCTCCATTTTCACCAGCTCCAATAACTAGTCCTGAAAACAAAATTTTACATTTTTAAACCAATAACAAAATAATAAAAAGCAACATGTTAAAAAATAAACAAGTAAATAAACGGCATAACCTTGAGTTTTAAATGAATTAATCACAGAATTAAGATTCTCTTCGTCTGTAGCACGGTGCGCAAGATCATTTTCCATGTCCACTAGACGAGTCTGCATGAAACTTGTTTGTCCATCCAAGCTGTAAGCAATGCTCCCATCGCTTGAACTTATTAGTAATTGGACCCGATCCAAAGGATCATGTTTCAATTGCACATCATGTGTTGTAGACATCACTCCAGCAGTTTCAAGGCTATTGAAAGGTGAAGTTCCTGCAGCACTAACAATCTGCAGACAAAGTTAGGAGTAAATGAAAATTGAATCATATCATATATTCTATATCAACATCATATTCATGCACAACAACCATGCAAAAGAATAAACTTATTTTGGAACATCATTTCAATGAATAAAAAATCACATTTACACAAGATAAAATTATGATCAGCATATCCAAATCCACAGCAGTTTTTAGCACTAGGCATTCAAAAGTTGTTTGGAGAAAAATTAACATATTTGTTTTCATGATTAGCATGAATAACATTGAGGTACAAAACTCAGAGTGACTTAATTCATGTAATTCTACATTCACACTAGTAAGTTAAAAGAAATACATTGAAGAAAAAAAAAAAAGGAATAAATACACAAAAGTATCTTGTATCATAAGAATTCTTCCCTTTAAAAAATTTAAAAAAATGTAAATAGCAAATAGAATATCAAACAAATTTATATTTTATGCTAAGTTTGTCATAAATATAACTAGTAAGTTGACACAGGTATCCTTTTATCTTTCACGACAGCCAATTTTTAATTTTTTAGATAATAAAACATTCTTCTAAATGATTTCAGTATTGCCGAAAAAGAGAGGATACCTGTGTCAACTTTGTGTTAGCAAACAGAATACAGAAGTTAAGATTTTAAACTCTTTCTTCTACAGTACAACCCCGCTTTTACAGTTTAAACAGACTTTCCCTAGTTCCTTCAATTTAGTTATGTTCATAATATTAAATTATCCCCACTTCTACACCTTCAAAATTAAAATTTTCCCACAATATGCAGTTTTGCAAGCCATCACAGATCTGTGAACGCCATTTTTTCATATTTTTGCTTTCTCTCGCATCAATATTTATCATATTTATCTCCAGGTCTACGAATTCTGGTCTAGTGTAGAGTTCATTCACTCTAGTAAAGTTTTGGTGTAGTGTGCTCCTTGCTAAAGCATCGGGAAGTATCAAAGCAAAGTATAGTAACATACCATAGTTTTGTGCAATTGTAATAATATTTTTATTCGAAAAAAAAGTGTTAATTTTGCCCTGTCATCGATTTGAAAAGAAAGAGATTGAATCTTTCTATTCAAGAAAAATAAAAAATTCTACAGACAGTTGAAGTCCATAAAGGAAAACATGTTGCGTTCACTAAAATGTTGGGGATATCAGTATCCTTTCTCGACACAATAGCAAGAAAAAAGGACTTAATAATTAAAAGAATAAACGAAAGTGGACATTCTTGCAAGAAGAGGAAGTACACCAGCTATACATAGTATATAGAGTGGGAGTAAGTTCTGAAGAATTGAAACACTTGCTTCGAGTGGTCTGTTGTTACGTGAAAAAGCCCTGAACGTGGAGGATAACCTTCCCATTGAGAACTTCTCCACATCTAATGGCTGGCATGATAGATAGTGATACAATATTGTTTATCAGATTGTGTATAGAGAAGGAAATGCAGTGTCAGAAGAAAGTGTTTTGGAATGGCAACAGGGGAAATTGATGGCCTCATGAAAAAGTATTCACTCGAGGACATCTTTAACATAGTGACACCAGTCAATTTTTTTTGTGTTCTTCCGAAGAAAAATTCCACTTTTAAAGGCAACAATTGCCATAGAGGAAGTAACACTAAACTTAGGTTTACTGTGATGTTGGGACTGTTCTGAGAAACTTTGCCCATTTGTTGTAGGAAAGACCAAGAAATCTCAATGCTTCAAGAATGTGAAAACATTGCCCATGAAATACGAGGCCATTAAAAAAAACCTTGGACAACTTGCAACCTTTTTGAGAGGCAAATATACGCTCTTGATGTGAAAATAGGGACACAGAGCAGAAAAATTCCTTTATTTGTTTATCAGTGCTCTGATCATCCAAAGCAAATAACTTGAGAAATATTAAAATTAAATTCTTGCTGGCACACTGCACAAGCAAGCTACAGACAATGGATTTAGAATAAACCATGCTTTCAAGATCTACCACAGAAGAAAGTTTTGCAGAGATTATTAGGTTTGATGGAGTAAGAGAAGGACATAATGACATTTAAAATATATATTCTTAAGTCACTGCATTATTTTGCAAAGGCATGGAAAGATGTAAATCAAGCCATTATCTGCAACAACTTTAGAAAAGCAGGCTTCTTCCAAACGCATGAGGGTGAAGTGAAAAAGAGAAAGAAGAAGGTAGTGATCTTGTTTCTACATAGGAGAAGATGAAAATGGATTACTAAGATAAAGACTTCCTGCATTTTAATAATGAACTTGTGATTGAGCAAACAGTGTGTAGAAAGTATGATCAATACAGTTAGTGAAAGAACAGTGAAAGAAGCGATACTGATTTTCAGGATGATGATGATAAGGATGGTGATAGTAGTGTGGCTACTTGTGCAGTAGTTTGTGCAACAAACATAATAAAATATATATATTTCTGCAGTCTTTTGGCTGACTTTAATAGTTTTTATAATGTTTAAGAAGTTGAAAAGCAAGTTGAAAGAACTCGCCAGAAAAGGCAAAACGATCATCAATATAAGACTTTCTCAAAAATTGCTAGAATTTATATATATTTAAGGTAGAAAACAAAAAAATACCAACATTTCTCACTGATTGTTAGTACTGAACTGATTACTGATTGTAAATTTTCAGCATGTACAAGAGGATCATCCCTATGTTTACAATGATTTTCCTTGGTCTCTTGAAAAGTGTAAATGAGGGGTTTTATCGTATTCTTATTGAAGACATATTTTACATAATTTAGTTCATTATAGTGAGTTTAACATGCTGACTGCCACCAGCAGTTTAGAAGTTCTGACAAAGATGCACATTCCAAGTCAATTCTTGGGCCCAATTTAGCAGATTATTCACACAAAATGCAGGACTCTGAAGTATGTAAAGAAATAAAAGTTCTGGCTTTTCTACACCTGAAGGATACAAAGAACATGGGGACATAAAATCTCAGTCTTCTATGAGTTATCTCTTAGTAATAATAGAGCTGGACATATAATCATGATCTTTTTAAAATCAAGTCACATTTGTTTCAGCTGAAATCAGATTTCTTGACAACAGGACACATGATCATAAAATAAAAATTAATCTAAGCAGGATTCACAGAACCTTTATTTCTCATAATTCCAGTATATTTATTTCTGCCGTTTATCATTCTTTCATGTGGTAATTTGGACGGTTCTTGACATACAAAGCCAGCTTTTCTCTACATTGTCAACAAAAGTAACAGGTTTCATGTCGTTTCTTTTCTTTCCTACACACAATGCATGGCTTAGTTGGACATAGGATTTTGCCATAAGTGGCAGAGCTTCCAAGATAAATGTAATTTGTCTTTTGATGATCTTTTTGTTTTCCCAGAGTAGTATTTTATCTCCCAGCAATGTTTTAATACATTTTCTTTAAATTTCAAACTCTTCATGATGGAGCCAGTGTCTTTGTAAAATAGAATGTATGCATTTTATACTTGTTTACTTTGTTAATATGAATTGCCAACTTCTTCAGCCATCTAACACTTTTTCTTCCATTCGCATGTAATAACCACCCTTTGCTCAAGCATGCTTGATGACATCACACCCTTTGGGATTGCTCTTCTATTGTGTAATGTACCACACGTATGTTTATCAATTAGAAGTTTTGGCAGTGCCATAGACTTATAAAAAACGTTCATATGTAGTAGTGTATATACACTTTATCTAAATAATTCTGTCATGTGCAGAAACATTCCTGTCGAACGATTCCTATTCTGCCCAACCCACTCCATTTACTGTCGTAAATCGGCATTTTCATGACCAATACATAAGATTCACAAAGTTGATAACATCAATCTGTATGTGAATTTTTTCTCTTTATGTACAGTCAAAAAGAAACTGCCACACCACGGACTCATCAATGTAGAACTTTTAGCTTTGTATGGAAGGATTATGCATCATATTACTGAAATAACTAGAACTTGTTTTATATTACTTTCTATGATCTATCATCAGTTTACACCAAATTATAAGAAAAGGGAAAATATTTCAACAAAATTTAAATCTACTTCTAGCCCATTACTAATCGCCAAAATGGAACATTGTTAACTTCACTACTGCCCCAATGTTTTTTGACTGATTGCAATGAAAACAATCCCACGTGCAATAAAAGACTCTCAAAACACTAATTTCTGCTTGGTCTGTACCGTATCAACTTGAAAAGCTGGTAATTTTCACATGTGATTGTTGAGTGCATATAAATTGGTTTCATATAATAGCATCATTAGGAAACCATTTAGGAAAGAAGAAATAGAAATAGAAGAAGAATAGAAGAAATAGAAATAGAAGAAGAATAGAAGAAGAAGAAGAATAGAAGAAGAAAAAGAATAGAAGAAGAAAAAAGAAATAGAAGAAGAAAAAGAAATAGAAGAAGAAATACAAGATAAAGAAAAACAAGAAAAATTAATTAATTGATTAAGTAATTTTTCAACTCTAAAATTCAAAAAGAAAAAAGAAACTATGAATATTCAATACTGGATTCTCTGTAAAATGAAACTACACTGGATTTTGTATCATTTTGAACCAGTCATCTATAGAACTCCCTTGTAAAGGACTGAAATTAGTAACACTGATCATTAGTATCATAATCATTCCATCTGAATATTAATATGTCACAAAACAGTGAATATACTTTTTATTTCAATAAAAAATTACATAAAAAAATTATGAACATTTTCAAAACATTTAATGAATAATGAAAACGCAACCTACCCAATACAGTGGAACCTTGACAAGTCAAATCTAAAGGACTACAAAAAGTGAGTAAACAATATTTTGTCACATAAAGGTTTGACTACGAAATAAATTTGAAATATAACAGACCTTCAAGATTTCAAAGGCCAAATTAAAAGTAATAATGGATTGGGAGCAGTGATAATATGTGTTACAAAATTGAAAATTTTGAGATCCTGATCTTGTAAAGCTTTGGAAATAATTTTTGGCAATTCAACACTAGCTTGAAAAGCAAGTAAGTTTATAAAATATTTAAGAAAAACAGATTTTATGCAAGGGGATAAGTGCTCAGTGTGGGTTGGCACAGAGAAAAGTTAATCAGATAGTTTACTAACACAAAATTATACATTGGGTATAAAAAGGAATCTTATGTAAAAAGTTAATTTTCCAAAAAGCATAATATGTGATCTAGCAAAAATATAAATTAATAAAATGCAGACTGATCTGGACAGCCAAAACATGTTCAATATGTGGGCTCAAATTATCATTTAACACTGATGCTATAAAGGAAAGCAAACAACTAAATAAATAATTTTATGAAGTTATCACAATTCCAACTTTACAGATCTGAAACCTGGGTACACACAAACATCTTGAAGCATCAGAAATTAAATATTAACTCTTACACTGCTACCACTGGCATGTCTGCTGTGCTGACTCATCAGCCAGGAGAGCGTCCCCCTGTGCACTTAGCATAGTTGTGTGGTACCCTCAGCAGACAGAACTGTCCAGACCCAACAAAAATAACCGAAGCTTCATTTACTTGTAATCAAATCAAGTTTTAGAACTTTAGAGCAACCCTAGCATCTTCGCAGTTGCAGAAACATAATATATGATATTGTTGAAAAGAAAGAAAACAAAAACCAGTGAGAATGTACGTGTACATCTATAGCACACGGGACACTGCAAAGCCCCAGACACACAAACAGATTTATACACCATGAGACATGGATCCCCCTAGATGTACAGGCATGTTCTCTGCAGTTAGGGCGTTAAAGAAATGTTTAAGTTCAAGCGAGAAGATACAATTGGAAATGAAAAGATCTGAGAAAAACTCCAGGTCTTTCTTTTGTGATAGATAAAATCAGTTTCTACATTCCTACACAGATCTTGAGTTAAACCATATAAGGAGGATCCCTAAAGAATGACTCCCACAGGAAACCCTCAAGTACAATACTTTTGAAAAGAGATACATAAGAACACCATGCAAAGAGGTGGATTGACCTTCTTGCTTCCAAAACAGGTGAAACCACCTAATCCTAATGAGAGAAGAAATTTCTCATAAATTTAAACCTGTTTAATGCAGAAGTATACACAAATATTCATGAAGTATTTACTTTTTAGCCTCACAAAATGCTTGAGAGCAAATAATTTGTAGAAGTGTCGCGAGATGCAGACTGAAGCAAATGGTATTACCAATCTTCTATTTTCAAAATATGCTCTCCGATTGTTCATGCTCTTCTGAATGGTCTTTACTAGTGAGATGTGAGTGTTAGTGAGATGAGGTGATGAAGTACAAAAGAGGTGTGAGAATTTTACAGAGTTGCACACTCTTGAGATTTATAGCGCTATAAACAAGTCATGATTTTTATATACCCATAGTTTAAAAATAAAGTCATCAAATACATGAATTATTAATGCATGATTATGTATTTTTCTTTGGCAAAATAGACAACTATTTATTACCAATAGAATGCATATTTAACATACCTCATTAGCTTGCTGCATACTTGAATGAATCATTATTTCACTAGTAGAATCAACAACTCCTGGAGAGTTTGCTACACTAACAGATGCATCACTATGAAAATCAGAGGGCCTGGGCCCCATTGTATCCAGTGCTTCAGTAGAAGATGATACTACATAATTGTCAGCTGGTGTAAGAGGCGCTTGGAGTGGTGAATGAGGTGAATTAGGATTTAAAGGAGATCCTCCAAGTCCACCAGGAAGAACACTTCCAGTGGTGGAAGAAGCTTGTTGATTAAAATATCCATCATCAGCCACAACCTGTCTTAAAAGCCCATCTCCTCCATCTGTAGAAGATGAGGTGCAAGTTATAGGAGATGAGACTGGATTTGATAACATGTGATTAACAAAACCCTGTGCTATTTCAGGTGATGCAACTACAGTACTGGATAAAGGAGAATGGCCATGTGAATTTTCAGTGAAAGAAGGAGAAGCAGGAAGTGTATTTGATGGAGGGTTCATCAAAGGACTAGATGGATTGGTCAAGACAACAACTTGACCTGGAAAAGGAGAGCTAGGGTTAGAAGATACTGTATTATTGCTCGATGATATCTCTCGTGAAACACTGAGAGAATCTGAGTGTCCACTTATGGTGTACACAGGAGAATAATGAGCAGTAGAACCCATGTTAGGATCCAAAGGGCTAACACGGTGTTCAAACTCTGATAAAGATGCCGGAGGCTGGAGTGAAAACGGAGTTCCAGGTTCAAATCCTGCAAAAGCTGACCGTCCATAATCTGCTGCATGTTCTTCCACATACTCCACCTATGTAAAAACATAACAAAACACTGTTAATGCTATTACATTTTATCAAATATCTTCTACGTAATGACATGCACAACAAAATGCATGGAACAGTGTGACTGCATCGAAGTAATTGTTTAGGACTTCACAAAATTATTTATGATCAACTCAATTTTGAAGTAATTCTTTATTTGTTAATTCAACAACAAGAAAATATACTAAACATTCAAGATTGATATGGAGACTCAGAGTACAAAATTCTCCTCAATCAACCAACAATACTTTAAGCTCAACCACAATAATATTTTACAATTTCATTACAAAAACTTTTCTTATCTGTTCACAACTAAAAAATGTACAGATTTTACATAAGTTATGTCAACGTTTGAATTATGTCACTGTAAAAATCAAAACTGAACTAGTAAATAAAATAAAACAACTGACACTTATGTATCTAATATAACTGTTTTGTTAACAGAACTAAATTATCCAATCTATTAATAAGATCATTCAGTATCAACCAGAAATAAAAAAATAATATTTAACCAATGACAATACTGGATATTTTTAGATACAATTTTTATAAAGTGTACACAAATGGTAGTTCCAAACTGAATACAAATGTAATGTTTTAAGACAATTAATCTGTAACAATACAGGTTTTATTTTTCTATTATTCTTATTAAGTTATATTTTTCAAAAATCTAGACACCCAAATTGCCTCATAATCAAAGTGATACCACAAAAGAAGCCAGTTTTATTTTCTTGAACTCATTTCAGCACAACAATAACATTCAATTCAAAATATATTATAGAAGCTGTATTAGTGTAAATCAATTTTTGTAAATACCAAACGAAGAAATTGATTACTAATTTAATTCGACAGCTAATTAACATAGTCAGTCCTGATTAATGTTCTCGATAAAATCTTTACATAAAATAGAAGATAATTTACATATTAATCCTTAACATGTACAATGTCATAATAAACTAAACACAAATGCCAGATTAAAACAGGTACAAGATTCTTATTTGTATGACAAACAGGCATGTCTGTGCACCAATAATACAAGATTTGGGAGAGCAAGATGTACTGCAATTATGAATTTTCACTGACTGCCAAATTTTCTAGAATATTGACATGGTAATTTTCTACATAGCTGCATTAAACAATTGTATATAAATTACTAATATAAAATCATGACATAACTGGTGACAAAAGTTTTGCATAAAAATAGTTGTTTTTTTAATGTTTCAATTTAATGTCAACTGCCAATCACAATCAAATTCTCCCCTCAGAAAATGTATCGTTAACAAAAAAGGTTTTGATATAGTTTAGAAATTACCTCCAGCCTGACATTCACATTATATAGGGTAGAACTCTTTATCTCTAAAAACGTAATCAATGACTTGACATTTCTCCTTATTTCAATCATACCTTCACCTTTCCCATCAATGAGTAATTTTTGAATATCCCTATATTTAATGAATACAATGTATTTCATTTCACGTGGGGCAAAATACCTCAATTTTCTAAACTAATTAACAATTACATACCGTGAGAAATAACAAACGAGAAGCTGTTGAAACATCCTTCTGCCCTTCAGCCAATTCTGTTGTAGACGATGACCAACCATCCAAGTCTGCTTCAGTTTCAGCTCTGGTTAAAATTGGTCCTGCTATTCCATCATGATTAACCCCAGGAGTACCCTGGGGGTCGGGGCTGTCCATTAAATTGAAAGGCTGGACCAAGTGTATGTCAATGCCATTGAACTGTAACAATGCGTTTAGTTCCACGGATAATTCATACAAAACACGGTCAATACTGACTTTCATCATCACATAAATCGCCTACTTAATTTAAAATTGACTACTCTTTAAACGTCAGCCATACTTTTAAAGAACATGGAAGAAATGTATCGTGCCCAAAATGTTTGGTTAACACAGAGGCGAGTACACTAACCAAACATAAATGACCGAATAAAAGATAAGGGTATATCGTGCAAGTTAAATAACAGTCAAAGGTCTCCTCGAAAGGCGGATCATATCGTGGAATATACCATCCAAAACAAAGGGATATCAGGGTACAGGGAAATATCTATCGTAAAGGAGGTACCTCATAACAGCAGACTTGAACAATCGGTGAACTTCAGGGACCACAATAAAATTACGCCTCGAAAAATTCACCTTTCTAAAATGTCAATGCAAGTAACTGCCTGAATTAATTTATAAGCAAATATTATAATTTATATACGGGCCTTACCCACCTTTATTAAACCCCAAAACTTTCCCACAATTCGCGAGAGTAAACGAGATTCCACGAGCTCTCTTAGCAACCAGAGGTTCCCTGGCAACGGTAAATAAACAATGTGTTTCACTTACGTGAACAGCTGCTACCCAAGACAGGATTTCTCACTTAAAATGAAACAATCACTGACGAAAAATGGATAAATTTATCAAATCAGGAAACATTATAAATTCTGATGCAGAACTTCTTGAACAGGACAAAGACAACTTACTTCCGTGCAACTCGGTTACATTAGCGAATTTTCGTCAAGAGATGGTATGACATTTATGGTCTACATAATGAGTAATAGATTCGTAATGTTGTACCATCATTATTAAATTATGGTATTTAATAATCTAGATGACTGTAGCTCGTTGAGTTTTATAATTAATTATTTGAATTTTTAAAGTTGAAACAAGTAAATAGATCAAATATTTTATTATTTTCCTAATGTAATTTTGAATCTTTTGAGAAAATTATGTAAAATTCTTGTGCTCTTTTTATGAAGAGGAAACCTTGAATACTTAACAATTTAAAAACAAAATTTGGTAGGTGTCAATGCTTTAGTTGAAATTCAATCACATGCCTAGGCCCTATTTATCTATTTTGTAGATTTTTAAGTATTACTAACATATGTAACTGTGATCTATTCACCTTGTATTATCTCGAAAAGGGAAACTCATTCAAGTGTTATTTGTTGTTTTTCAGTCACAAATTTCATTAGTTTTCTTTATAAATGAATTTTGGCAGGATAAAACCAGACTATTGTGTATAAACAATATTTATTGAAAGAATTAATGAGTTTCTCAACAAACAAAAAATTGTGAACCTGTAGTCAAATAAATAAATGTGTAAAGATTATTAGTGAATTGTATGTTGATATGCCCTGTAACTGAATAACCAGAATAATCAACTTTTCCCCTCTTGTAGATGAAGAAAGCAAAAAAGGAAGAAACATCACAAAAGTTTGACGAAATGTCTGAGACTGAGAGGTACTTTTTTTTTTTCAGCTAATATTTCATGAAATGTTTTTATTGATGCATTTATTATTAAGTATTTTGTGTATTTTCAGAATAATTTTAAATGAAGAAATTGAGAAATTGACCCGCAATCAAAAGCTGTATTTAATGGAAAGAACTTCAAAGAAACAACTGAAAAGTGCCAAGAAAACTGTTTCTCTTCCATCATTTCAAATGATTGATCAAGAAAACAAAAAAGAAAGTGATATTTTGTCATCAATGTTTCCTTGCCTTGATAAATCTGAAACTCATCAATTTGCTCATAATGCTTCATTGACATACCAAGCAAATGATCATTCATTAATAAATAATGATTCTAATGTGTATATGAGCCAGGAAGCCTTGCATAAATTAGAAAAAGCAGTAGACATGTATAAAATGTTACATCATGGAACAAGAATGACAGACTATAATAAAAGTGACATTTCTTCTAGTATTAATAAGAGTAAAAATATGTTTCATGGGAGTTTAAATCCTGATTCAAACAAACTCAAAGAATCAGAGTTTTCTGCAACTTATCCTCCAATTATTACCCCAAGGAGAGATAGCATAAGAAATAAATATCAAACCATTACATATTCCTACACATATAATTCACCTAACAAAGTATCTCCTCCATGTGGAAAGATTGATATGCAGATAACATCTCTGGAAAATGAGAAACCAGTATTATTATACACTGAAAATTCCAATTCTCAAGAAGTTGACTCAGAAGAAACACTGTTACATTTTCCAATCAAAGATAAAGAGTTAGAAGTAGCAAGAAAGGAAAAGAGTTCAGCAATTAAATCATACAATGAAAAGTCAAGAATGACAAATACTGAATGTAAACATGGTAGTCAGAAAGTTCAAAATGTTTCTAGAAACATTGAAAATTCAGAAAAATTATCTTTAATGAAAAGAGATTCTAGTTTGGTATATACAAGAAGAATAACACAAAAATGTTGGGAAACATGGAGAGCCTATGTACAGTGTACCTGCTCACGTAAAGCGTTCTCAGATGAAAGGAAAATTCGTCAAGCTAAAATTCAAGACTTCATAGATGTTTTGCGACGTCAAAGAGAAATAACAGATATTAACGATAGAATTAGTGAAACTGGAACTCAAAAAGAAAAGTATTTAAATCCAGAATTAAATAGACATAATCAAGAATTCAAAATTGTTGCTAGTCAGAGGCATAAAGAAATTTTAAAAGAAAATGAAGCCAATAAGGCATTTTCTGCTTTGCATCGATTGAAAAGAAATAATGTTACTCAGAGTACTCACAGTAACTGCCATACTTCAGGTTTTAGTGACGCAAATATCTGCAAATGTTCTGGATTGAAACAGACAACATGCATATGCCATAGATATGAAGCTCAACAACATATAATATCTCAACAAAAGAAGCAGCTGGAAGTCCAAAAAAAGTTAATTGATGGTTTAAAATTGGAAAATTTAAATAAAGATGCCAAACTTTCTGCTACTCAAGCATTAGATAATCTTAAATCTCATGATTTAGGTGGATTTTTGAATGATATAACTCAAACAAATAAAATAAAAAAAGGACAGAATTCAACACATCAAATACCAATATTATCGGGTCAAATGCAACAAAGAGAAAAGTGGCGGAAGATGATGAGAGAAAGAAAGGAGCAAATGTACAAAGAAAGGTTGCTTAAAAAAGAGTTGGAATTGCAAAATCAACAGAGAGCAGAGGAAGAAGAAAGAAAAAGAATTGAAAATGAAATTAAGGAGAAACGTCGTCTTAGGCTGCAAGCAGAGAAAAGGAAGCAGTTAGCTAAAGAGAAAACAGAAGACTCAATGCAGAAAGCTCGAGAGCATTATGAGAAGAAACTTCTTGAAAAGGGATTTGCAACATTGAAAAATTTAGTTATTGAGGAGAAGGAAAAGATATTTTTAATGAACGAGTATTACAAAAGAAGAATTCTTGTGAGGCATTTTTATGAATGGCAACATTATGTCACAAATCTTGCAAAACACAAAAATTCCTTAACTACATCATGCTATAATAATCTCCTCTTGAGAAAAGGATTTACAGCATTTTTGAAGGTTTGTAATTTACATTAATATAGGTACTTTTTTGTATATTAACTGTAATCATCAAAATATATTTTTTTGTTATTGATAAGAGATATTCATCTATACAATGAATAGTGTTTCTGTGTTTCTCACCCTAATAAAGCAGGAAAAAATGTTAAAATTTCATTATAAACATTTTTTCAGCTTGGATATTTGGCTTTGAAAAACGATACCATGAAATCATTTGAAAATGGATGCTTTCATACTTTTTTTTATAATTGTGTTTTTCAGATTTTTATTAAATTTTTGAATGTAAACTAGTAAATTGTAAACTAAAATTATTATCCATGAATTATCACTTTTATCAGTATTGATTTAGAGTTCAATGCTATTTTGGTGTGTTCACCAAGAAGATACTAAATTTGATCATCTTTAAGCTTATAATTAGAGTCCAGATTATATGCAAGTTGCATATATACATATATTTTTTCCAATTTTAGATTGTTGCATGTTTTTAAAAATCTGGCATATATTGACATATTATTATTATTATTTGATGCAGTAGGACTCATAAATTGTGGGGGAAATTTCTTAGAAGTGAAGTCCTTTGTGTTTGTTGCATTCTTGGGACACCAAATTGTTTTCAAGATATGATAAGCACCAGAAATTTTGGATAATTTTCATTCTATTGTGTCTGTTTAATTCTTACATCTACACTGTCAGTCACTGAATGCTTATGCAAGCAAGTGAAGGATGCAGGACTTGGGCTGTGAGAAACTGGGTGAATGGGTGGTGCTGCCATGAACTTGGAACCCCTGTGCTAGGTGATGCAGAGTGTGCAGTATATACCTTTTGTGTGAGTTTTTTTTTTTTTTTTTTAGTGTGCTCATACATGTGGGCATTTGTGTGTGTGTGAGAGAGAGAGATATTTTTGTTTGTTCTTTTTTACGAGGGTATGTGGAAATCTTTAAAAGACATTAGGTAGCCCATAACAACCTCTGTGTGTGAGATAAAATTACTCACTAAAACTGAACCTCTCACCTCCTCCATCCTCCTTGGGGAACTGCCTATAGGCATTACATTGTGGGGAGTCGAGTAGTGATTCAGCCACATGATATATCTATTAAATCCTGGTAATAGTAAATTGGAATCAGATTTCCTTCCTTTCTTTCTCCAGATCTCTTATTCCAGCAGCACTACTCCTACAGTCACACACCACCTTCCAACTGCTTTCAGAAGCAAGCGTACATAGTACATGTAACTATGCTTTGTGGAGTCATCTAGCCTATCCCAAGCATCTCAATGATGATTCATCATTGAGGGCTGAAACATGGGCACTGAAGAAACATGTTGGGATGCCCTCAATGGCAGATGTGTGAACACTGGGGTGTGTGAACACACACACACACACACACACACTGAGGTATCATCCAATTTGGGCCTAGGATGGTAGACTCTGAAGCATCCATGTCCCATTAGAAGCTGCGTGAGTTAATAACATACCCCACCATGATTTCTTCTGATCCACGATTGAACTGTAGGAAACTGTCAGTAGGTCCACCTTCCTTTGGAGGGAGTGTCTCCATTGCTACTGCCATTTTGCTAGTGGTTCGAAGAAGTTTTGCATCTTGCCTCCTTTGCCAAAACGCCTCTGCCATTCACGGACCATTATAGCAATAGGTGTCATCCTGGCTATGACACAAACTGCTTCATTTGAGATGGTGGGGAAATCACATACTATTATGAGTGCAGTTCGCTTATATTGATGACATTCCTCTTCCTCACAGCTCTTCGTATCTGTAGAAGTGTTCCAAACTGCTTATCCATAAAGCAGAACTGATGTGACAACTGAAGCAAGTGTTTTCTCTTTTCATGACTAGGCCCTCCAGAGTTTGGCATTAACTTTGCCAATGCAGCAATCACCACTGCTGCTTTCTTGTTGGCACAGTCCAAGTGGTCTCTAATGGACAAGTATGTGTCAATCATGATGCTGAGGTATTTTATAGTAGGTTGTGACGACCGACATTGAGAGTGATGGATTGTCCTTTCTTCTTGCTAGTTACAAGCATGACTTCTGCCTTGAGTTCAACAAGCTGCAATCCTGCAGAATCCAGCTAGCAACTAACTATGGCAAAGTCCTCATTGCAGATACATACTATCTCCTCTACAAATTTTGCATCAACGATGATGGCAAATCCTATGATCTTGGTTCCTTCTGGGACAGGAGGCCTAAAAGCCTTATCATACACAATATTCCAAAGCTGTAGACCCAGTACTGAACCATGTGGGATTCTGGCAGTGATGTTGTGCATCTTCGGTTCATCATCCGAATTGTACACTAGAATTCTGTGATTGAGGTATTCTGTTACTATCCTCCTCAAGTGTGTGGGTACACTGATTCAGTGGAGTACCTTGTGAATGTCATTCAACCTTGCCAAGGTAAAGGCATTCTTAATTCCAATGTTACGATTGCAAAATACTTTTTTGGACCTCTTTTTCATTTGTGTTTGTATGTGTCTGCATCTGTGGTTGTCCTTTTTAGGGAGAATATTAATACTTGGATTTGTTAACATGCATAATTGTTTTAATTAAATGAGAAAGACTACTTAAACTAAGATTTTGTGTTCATAATTATAAATGAAAGAACCAATATCAAGTGAACGAAACTTGAAGAAATCAAACTTTACATGACTAGTAGGTATTCCAATCATACATTTGCCACACTTAAGCGTATATTGTGACATAAATCTTAATTTGACATACATATTTTCATAAAAAAATCTGAATGAAAAAAAAAATCTTGCAAATTTGCATATAACCCGGTCTCAGCTTATATGCAAATTTAGATATATTCACAATATTAATCATCTTATCACATTCTCAGTGTCATATACACTACTGAAGCTTAATTAAACTCAATTTTTGAAAATTTGATTGTGAAGTAATTGTTTTAATAAAGGGTGGAAAAGTTAACCATGAGACTTGAAATAACATCTCTTTAATTATTATCTGCAATATAATAGAGAGCTTGGTAAATTCTTGGCTATCCAAGATACCGCATCGTTAGCCGAGAGGCCGACGTTTCGCCTGACATGTCGCAGGCTTCGTCACTGCCCTGAGGAAGCCTGCGACATGTCAGGCGAAACGTCAGCCTCTCAGCCATTGCTGCGGTCCCTCGGATAGCCAAGAATTCATGGAATCGAGCCGCGGAAGCTTACGTGTACAGCTTGGTTAAGTTGTTGTCTTAATCTCCAAGTTACTGGACCTACCTGTTTATTTACGTCAAAAACGGTTAAAAACTGTGTGTGACGTGCTATGGGGAGAAGTTAATTTGAAGTTACATTTATGTCCAGAAGCAAAACAATTTGTTTGTTTTGTTTGATTTGTTGATTGAATTGTTTGATTGGGTAAAGGGATTTTGGGAATTTTAAAAGAAAATTCATAATACCTCAGCAAAAATTCAGACAAATTATAATATTTCCTTCATTAATTTGAGCTCTTGGATTTTTTATGTGAACAATGAGGGCAAAATACTTCTAAAATATTTGCCTTCAAATATGAGGCAATTCATACATAGTGTCTTCAGTTTTTTTCTAATGAACATGTGAAAATTTTCATAAAACAGTTACACATATAACATTTGTTCCTGACTGATAAACAAAGATCAGATGCAAAAAAGGGATTTCTTTAGCCTGCCAAGCAGTGGTGTACGAAAAGTTGCCTAACAATCAGGGGCAAATTAATATATGTTACTTAGTTGTAGGAAATTTTCCATCATATGTATTCACTGGCAAAAAGGGATCATTTTTGCCCCTCTAATCTCTTTAAGTGTGTAATAATTATTTTGAGACATTTTGTATACAAGGTATGTCTAAAAAGAAATGCATTTAATTAAAAAAATACATTTATTAATCAGGTATAGCAACTTCAAAGTATGACCCTCGTGTGTCGATACATTTTTGCCAGCGTGATTTCCTAGCCTCGTACGCTTCCAGCATGTCGTCGACGAAGAATTCCTTTGGAGCCCTCGTCGTTTTTGTTTCGGTGTTGTCCAAAGTTTTTAGTATCTTTCATGGCCCTTTTCGGCCGAGGAAAAAAAACAACGATGGAGCAAGGTCGGATCTATATGGCAGTTGTGGAAGCGTTGCCACACCGGTGCGGGTCAGGTAGAATAGAAACATAGAAGACGTTGAGGGCCGGCGCGCATCGTCGTGATGCTTCCAAGAAGTGCTGATCTCCTTTCGGGCGCGGGTGATCCCGTCGTTCAGTCTCTGGAGCCCTTGTTTATGAAACTGTGCGTTTACGACGTGTTCAGGAGGTACGAACTCTCTGTGTATTATCCCCTTTGTGTCAGAAAAAGTAATGACCATGACTTTCACGCGCGATTTGCTCATGCGAGCCTTCTTGGAGCGCGTAGGCGCAGTGGTCTGACACTCCGCGCTTTGCCCTATTGTTCCCGGGTCATACTCGAAGATCCACATCTCTTTCCCGGTGATAACATTGTCCAAAAATTAGTATTAAACATCTTGAAAATTTCCACCGGCGTCTTGTTCAGCTTCGCGCAAAACTTGATCGCGAATCTGTCATCCAAAGATATCTACATCTACGATACGAGTACTAGGTAGTATCTCACAAACTTACACGTTCTAACCTCCCCAGGGCACGGAGGCAACTGATCTAAGAACCATTTGAAAGCTAAGCCTCCCCTTACCCTATCCTAACTATTCTTGCCGTTCTCTGACTTACAGTGGCGTAAAAAAAAAAAAAAAAAAAAATGCGACAGACCTTGCATGAAAAGGTTGAGGCATAAGACACATTTTATTTATTTACTTCCTCACTCACTCACTTACTTACTTACTTTAATGAATGTGGGATCTACAAAAAGATGTGATAAATGTAGGTGGGAATAAACATGTTGCTATGGAATGTAGGCCTATGAGTAATGTTTGTTTTCCAGATGTAGGATACAAAGTAAGTAAGAATCCAGAAATGTGTTACATAATGTTTATTTTCAGTATTACAGTACAGCAAACATAACGGTAAGCATTACAATATTAGTAGTCCCTTAAAGAGTCTACATCATATTTCCAAAGATGTGGGAGGTGTTGGATACCATTCACCTCATCATGTGTGAAATTTGAAATCTCATATTTCACAGCACAGACAATGTCCCACCATGTCCCAAACTCTCTCACATGGTGGTTCCTTGGTTTTGAATGTAAGGACAAAATTGACCTCTAAAATAATTGTAAATGATCTCTGTTATTAAATACTACAGGTTCATGCAGAAAAGATCCAGAATGAACAAGTAGCAGATGACTTCTATTACTTACAACTTGTGAAACTAGCCTTCAGTAAACTGCAAATGTATTCTTACCGACAACAGATGATAAGAGACAATCTGGAGCAGCAGGCAGACAAATTCTATCACAGGTTAATTCGCAATTTGTTTTTAATTTTGTATCTTTTGCATTTTGTTTCATTGATCTAAAAAGTCAGTTAAATTATTTTTACATACCAGGAAACTCCTCAAATCTGCTTTGAAAGCTTGGAGATTGCTACCATCAGTATTGGAAGAAGAACGAGAAAAAGAGAAAAGAAAGGAATTCTGGAGGCAGAAAGTTAGAGAAATTCTGCCAGACTTTAGTCCTGCCTTGGAAGAATCCTACTGACAAATAATTTTAAAATGTGTAAATTGCTTTAAACTGTGAGTTTAACTCAATTTCTTCCTTCCAAATTGTACTGACTGATGAGTATAAATACAAGTGCCTTAATAACAAAAAAAATACACATCCAATGTTCTTATTCTGCTACCAAAAAACTTGGCATAAAACAGAAGTTTGCTCATGTGAACCATAGTAATTATCCTTGAAACAAATTTTAATGTTCTCCATTTATTAATGTTCATTTCATGTATAAAACGAACACTGTAGTGAATAGGCCTACCTCACAGAACATTTTAAGTCATGCAATAAATGTAGTTTATGGTTATGGTGATTTTTTTCTTTTAGAATGCATGGAAACCTCTGAAAACTTGTATTAAGAATCTCTAAGTTAGATTATGACCACAAATTAACAATGGCATGAATAAATATAAAAATTAATAATGTCTGGAGGTTAAATCATCATTAATAGAATTCATTAAATACCTAACTTAATTTCTTTAAATTTTGCTTATTATTTATCTTTCTCTCACAACTTTTACGCATTCTTTATGTATAATACATATGTTTTTCTCTTTAGTTACATAAATGGATCACTTCCATCTAAATGTTACTTTTTCAGTTCCTATGGTTTTTAGGAAAGTTTTTAGTCAGGTAATGGAGAGAAAACTACTTGGGCTATATGATTTAAAGTATTGTAGACTTCTACCGTCTTACTTAGTCTACTCTGACATGTGGTTATGAGAAAAATATATAATTATGCTGAAAAAACTCAAGATTGTTACCTGTCCCGCCTACCATGTGTAAATATGCAAATGTAAATACCACTGAGGGAAATGGTAGTACATGTGCAGTTAAGTGTCAGCTGTTGTGTTTGTCTTCATTCTGTGCTTAGGAAGGGAGATTCATTTTTTTAGGTTTATAGTAATTGGAAGGACCTTTGGACAAAATGTTGTTCTGAGCATCACTTCTTTTTAAACCATTATGTTTTTGTTTTGTTTTTTCCTTCTTGTTTGCAACACCACGTAGCCCTTTTTGAAAACTAAATATATGTATCTTATTTTGGAGTAATCCTCCATTAAGTGAATTTTTGTGTCTTATCACTTAATGTCTTTTAACCCTTCAACCTGGGGCTTGGTGCCATTAGTAAACAGCATTCCCAGATGGTCACCCATCCAAGAAAGTATTGTGTCTCAAGTTGCTTAACTTCCGTGACTTCACCGAGTGTAGTTAAGTAATTCATCTAATACTTTCATGTTACTGACTGTATCATCTAAATGGTTGTTAAAAATGGTGAGAACTTAACTGGTTACAATTTCAGGAGGCAGTTTGCAAGATTATTATTATTATTTGACAAACATAATCACGGTTAGTAATTTAATTTATCCTAATAAGTGTTACCAATATTTCTTCCACTTGTAAATTCTAAATTCTTGCAATTCCTAACGTTTTCAGAGATTATGTTTGAAAACACCTATGTAACTGTGGCAAAACAAATCTTCCCTTGCATTCTCAATCTTTGTATCACCATTTTCAATTCAAAATCTCAGGAATGTTACTTCTCACGAGTGTTACCAATTGTTAGGTAACACTCACAAGAGTAAGGTCAAATTCTCGGAAGCACTAGTATAGTTTGGTGCAGTAATGTCCTGGAAGAATAAAAATTAAATGGCCAATTATCTTTACACTCCTATAAAATAAATATATTTTTAAAGTATTCAAAAGCCTTAATTTCTGAGTAAACCTGTTGAAAACAAGTTTTCTCTCTGAGTGGGCTAAATATTTTTGGAAGGTTTCTCTTTACTAGAATTATGGGGGGGGGAAAATAATTTGATGCTCCCAATCACATAAACTTGAAAACATTAAAGGTAAACAATGGAGGTCATTAAGGATTACAACTTTGGTATTATTAGCAGTCATTGCTGTTGTGGTAACAGGAGTGTTTTTGCCAAGCATTCGAATCATCACAAGTTTGATTCCCAGAAGAAGGAAAAGTTATTGGTATCCTTTCAAATCCAAATTAAAAAATAAATCATGATAGGAAACTACCTGCCTATTTTTGATATTTATGAAGAACATTGAGTGGACTATGCTCTATTCGTTAACAAGGGTTAACATTATTGTAAGCAACAATCTTTATTTAATATTGTTATTGTAAATCAATATTGTTCTTAATTATTGTTTTTATATTATATATTAAATTTATCATTTTTTCTGTACTTATCCCCAACTGAATGCTAGGTACCTAAAAACTAAAATTTTAAAATTAGCTTATGAACTTTACAGTTAACTAGATCATTTTTCGTGAATATAACGAATATCTGTCTAAATATGCAAATATTGAATAGCAGTTGTCAGATGTTGAAGATAGAATACTTTTGATGTACTACTAGTTAACTGGTTATGTTGAACTACTCAAATTGTGTAAACTCACATGATTTTAAAGTGTGTGGAATGTTAATTATTGTTAGTTCAATCTGTATCATTACTAGGAGTTGAATCAGGAACAAAGGCTACATAATGGTATAATGTCAAGTACCTACGATGTTAACATTTCCCAAGGAACACATATCTCTTCTCTAAATGTATGACACATATTTATTTTTTTTACTTTTTTAATACTCATGAATTCTTAAACTCTACTTGCAAACAAGAAAAGTCAATAAAAAATTTAAAATGGAGAAAACTCACAGTGTATTATATGGATGTCAAACTAGAAAATGTTATTGAAAACATAGTTCAACAAACCCAATTTTCTGACTGTTTACAATTTTTGTAATATTGTTAAGGTTGAGCATACATAAGTAGACACTTAAATGGAGAGGACACATATTTCCATGACTGCCATGATTGTACTGAAACATTCCTTGGAAACAGTTCCATGTGCATCTTATGAGCACTTCTGAATGCAAACATTTACACATTTTAGACTTACATTAAAGGTTACAGAAGTTGGAAGAACTAGTACTGCTACAACAACATACACTTACTTGCATTATTTGTAATGGCCATGTATGGCTTCTTTAACCCGCAAACGTGTTTCCAATTGGCAAAATTTGTATTTGCATGCATCGGATTCAAACAGTAGTTCTTTGGTTTAGCATCCCATTCATTTTACCCTAACATCACCAACTTCACAGTTAAACTCAACCATTCCAGTGCTAAAAATAACATACCATTGGGCCTGTTCCATTCTTATTAGCGAACTTAGTATTATTCGAGAACAAAATTAATTAACATTTTGAAGCTGTTTTTGAGAAAATATTTACTTCAAGCAGAAATTATGCCAAAACTACTTATATTTTTAGGAAATTGTACAAGACCCTATTTAAAGAACATTTTTTAGAATATATTTCTTGAAGGAAACTAGAGGAGCTACAACACCACATACTATCTCACATTGTTTCTAACTTCTGAAATTTTTGAAAATTCAGAGGTCAAAGAAAATTAGAGCAGCCCAATATTTTAAGTGTCCTTTGCTCTACCTGTGGAAAAAAATTAAAGAAACATTTCAGCAATTTTTTTAGAAAAAAGACGCTGACATCAATATTGTTTTTTTGTGATGTTAATATTTGGCAATTTTTCAAACTACTGAGAGTCTGTTGAAAATGGGACTAGCACCAGTTTTTTTTACTGTCCTGTGCTACATATGAGGGAAAAATGTAAAAAAAAATTAGAGCCACATTTGTGAAAAGAATTGTTTAAAAATTTCCTACATTTCACGCAAATTTACATGTAGAAACTACTCATATAACCGAAAAATTCTACATGACCATATTTTAAGATCTACCTTGCAGTACAATGTACTGACGTGTACTTTCGTGCAGTTGCAATCTTGATTCCTGCGTAGAAATTTGTGCAGGGTCGTCACGAAACTCCAAGAATTTGTCCCGAAACTATACAATGGCGTCTGAGCACTCGTACGAAGTAGTGAAGATAAACAGTGTTTTATTGACAATTTGCTACTTTCTATCGTATCCCCTACGTGATATTTCAGGAGACGCCACTGATATGCATATACTCATCTCCCACCCCACGCTTATGCAGATAGCAGGCACCTAATGGGGAGACGAATGCTCAATATGAGATTTGTATTGATCTCACAGAGGCAGGATCTTCCGGTGTCAGAAAGGAAAAACTCCAAGCACGCAAACATTAACGGAAACTGCTCATATATTCTAAAATCAATTTTGAATACAACACACAAAGAAGCAAACAAAGAAAGAAGAACTTGATTGAACGCGCGTTCGTTTCACGAACAACATCTCAAAGCTATAACCCTTTCATTTCAGTTCAGATATTTTCGAAATGACTCCATTTTCTCAAAAAATCAACTAATCTTTCATATGAATTAAATACTTTAATTTACTAATATACTGGTACCGTGCACGGTCAAGACCTTATTGCATTGTGCATTTCCTTTGCTTTCATCCTCAAATGAAGTTACCAAACACTCAAGTGCCAGTATTCTGCCCATTCACTTTGTAAGAATGAGCTACAAAGTTCTCAATGCGTCTCGTTAACCCCTTTTAATAATACATTTCTGTTTCAGTCCTATTTCGATTTCTGAATGAAGCTGTATTAACTTCCAATCTAATTGAGTTTAATCACACATCATTTACTCTGTTCTCACAGGTACGACCGTTTCCTTAACTCAAAATATTAGCGCCCGTCGGCTTGCCACCTCACAACGCGCTCAGAACCCCGTTACATTTGCTGTGTTACCTTGCGCACCACCTCGCACCGCAGTTGTATAACGCGCCTTCTGGCCTTCCCTGCACGCCGTCGCACGCCGCTGCGTGGCCTCGTGAAACCCCTCGTTTGGCGTAAGCGTCGCGCCGTCGCCTCCGACCGTGTAGTGTGACGTCATGGATACTCACAGCGACCGCATACACAGAGCTTTCATATAACAAATATATTTATTAACAAAGAAAACAAAACAAATATATACACTTAATTTCCTACTTACACCCTAGCTCTGACAGACCTACTATCCCCTGATCGCAGGAGCGATCCAAACCCGATTGAAGATCGGTTTCGATTGTGGCATTCGCTACTCCTACTTCTGAGGCGTGCACAAAGCCTAGCTTCCGTGACCGGATGTCACGCTGGGACACAAAGTCCGTTCTGGCGCACCAACGGTTGGTTTGCCTCGATCGCAGGAGCGATCTTATCCGATTGAGAATCGGCGTGAATCGTGGCACTCAACTACTCCTCACCGGAGCACGCATACAGCATCGCTCCCCCGTGACCGCAGTTACCCAAGGACATAAAGTCCTCCGCAGGCTTCGTCAACTCGTGACTGGCCTCGCGAGCCTGGCTCGCATATGCACTGTCGTGGCGCCAAGTTTTGTGCACATGCACGAGGTTCTCCCACTGTCTCCAGAACCCACCCACTGGCTCTGTACACTCCGCTATATAGGCGAGGCCCACGTGACCTACTACGTCACGCCACCCACCCCGCTTGTTATAACAGTGAAAGGTTTCTAAAGGCCGGAAGACCCCAAAGGCTTGTGTCTCCCGTTTCCGCGTTCTGGCCTTTACGGAAAAACCCTTCTCTCCTTCCTGTGGCGAGGCTAATCCTCTACCAAGCGTCCCCAAATAGATGCCACGATGCACGCTGGCTAATACGTTACAGTAGTCTTCGTAGAACGAGCTAGGCTCCGTCTCTCAGATCGCCGCGTCCACCAAGTCCAGACCAGCTCCAGTCTCCCGTCAGCTTCTTTCTTCCGTCTTCTCCCCAGGAAGAGAGCTCGTCCACACGCCTCTTCGTCTTTCTTCTCTCTTGCCTCAAAAACGCGTTAAATGTCTGCGTACTTCGAGTCCTTGCACGTTATGATTATCTTAAGGCGTTTTAAATATTTCCGGTGTCACTTGCTGACTCTCGTCACTTGCTGTACTCGTTTCACGATTTCTCTGGTGACGTTCTCTCCGCAGCTCGTCCCTATCCTAGGGATACTATAATTACAAATTCTCAACTGTGAGTCGCGTGTGATTGATAAATTAAGATTTGGTTAAATTAAGATAAGTTTTTATTCAAAATGTTTTGGTGGAATGTGGCATATTACAGATTATGTAGAATGACGCAGACTCAACTCAGCTCTTGCTGTGATACGAATTTATTCGTTTTAATTATTATCTGAAAATATTTTTCCTTGAAAGTTTCGTGCAAGTTAAAATTAATAGTTAATGAATTTTTTTGGGGGGTGATGTCCCGTATACCCCCTCCCCCTTGTATCCGCGCCTGCCTAATCTGTAGGTGTCTCATCCTGCTGATGCATATTCAAGTATCAGCCTGACTAACGATGTGTATCATATTTTTCGACTCTCCATGTTCCCATTTTGAAGTGT